TGGAAGACTCTCTCACCTACCATTATGTGTATAAACGGAGAGGGTGGGAGAGGGGAAGATAGAGAGAGCCGTGAGAAAACAACAAAGAGAGTGAGAAATGTGAGGCAGAGAGACCGTCTCTCTTGGTGTGAGCGAGGGAGATGGGTGAGTGGCTGAGTGAGGAGAGTGTGAGCTCTGCCTCTTTTGTAATCTTTCTGTAATCTCTCCATTATTATAGTGATAACCGGTTACTCTTCCGTGGACGTAGGCTTTGAGGCCGAACCACGTTAAATATGGTGTCTCCTTCTGTGTGGATGTGTTTTTCTGGTTGGTATGATTTCTATAAGGTCTTGGGCGGGATCTCCGATCCCAACATCTTCCTGGATCAGCAAAGGGGTACCATTTGGCTATGCCAGTCTCACTCCCCTATGCAATGTTGAGGGTGGATACAAAGCAATGTTACTAAATGAAAAGAAGTTGGTTCTGTATAATCCTGTTGAGCAGATGCTCAAGTATCCAACTATCAAAAATCTCCCCCAAGGACGCAAATTGAAAGGTCTAGCGAGTTTGGATAGCCTCCACTCGCCTACCAACTACTAATATTTCCATAAGAAAATATAGCACAACACATGTAACAACCCTCATACTGTTTACTGATTAATGACTGATCGATTACCGATAACCACCGATTACTGCTAAACGGAACTGATAATGACTGACGGAACATTAAGTCACATATTCTTGCGGATCGCATGTCGTGTGGATCATTTACCATTAGTCGAATATTGAGTTGAGTTAGAATCTAGAGGTAGTTCTTGCTTCAGTTGAGTGTATATTGGTCTCTGTAGTTTGTTTTCCCTGTTATTGTTCAAAGTGGTAAGTAGATCTATGTTGCTGACTTTTTTTCACAAGGTGTTGTTGGTTTGTTGTGGTTTTCCAAATTCCCATGAATTAATTGTTTGGGAACCCCTGTTGTTGTGTTTGCATTTGGATCATTTTACAGTCTTCTAGTCGTTGTGTCCCAGACAATTTTGGCGGTTGTATCTTCTTACACTTTATGATTACTATTTTAGATGATTTAACAGTTTGCGATAACAGCAACTGTTTATTCCATGGAACTGAATGTGATTGAGTTTGTTTATGGTTCATATTGCAAACTATGAATTTCCACATTCTGGAATTACTGTTTACATTTAGTAAATTAGTATTATAATTTGTAGGACTTATACAATGGTGTACATAGTGCGAGATGGAACCTAATTTAGACACACCAATTTCGGTTTGTCACATTTTCAGAGTATGTGCGCAACGCATTTTTCGAAACAATTTTGAAAATTTACAATTTCTGAAAATTCGATTTAGAAGTTCGAAACTTTCTGAAAATGTAATTAGAACTGACAATTTTACTCTACTCGTATTAGTCTCTTAAATTGTTTTTGTATATTTCTCTGTTCGCTTGGTCATAATTTCATGAAAAAATTTACCAAACCCAAATTGAAGTGTGGAAATTTACTTTGTTCTCTGTTACTATACCAAACCCAAATTGTGGAAATTTACCAAATCCAAATTGTGCTATATACGTTGCTTCGGCATATTAATGATTGAAGTGTGAAAATTTACTCTGAAAAAAATTTCAAAGTTGATTTGGAAGTGCGAAATTTTCCAACCCCAAATTGTGGAGTTTGTATTATAGAATTATCCAAGGAAATGATCCACACCACAACCAATCGGCGAAGACAGAGAATTAATTTGCGTGAATAAAGCGAAAACCACCCCATCTGTCACAACTCTTGTGATCGCTAAAATATTACTATTTTCTTTTTGGTAAAGATACCAAAATATTACTAATAAAAGTAGTTTTGGCTCCGTTTTGTTTAGTTTTAAAATAAATAAAAAATATTTAGAATTTTAAATATTTTATTAATATTTTTATCTAATATCTTGTATAGGTATCAGACCAACATCGTATGAGTATTATGTGAGTCCCACACCTATGTGAGATATTTGATAAAAATATTGGTAAAACATTTGAAATCCCTAAATTACTCTTAGAATAATGATTTGATTGTGGAATTGTGTTTTGAAAGATAAGTTTTTTAAATGAGTTTTAAAAACAGAAAACGTGTTTGATTATAAATTTTAAAAATAGTTTTGAGTTGTATTTTGAAATTGTTTTAGGTTTATTTTTTAAAATATTTAAAACTTTTCTTAATTTTATTTTTTTAAGGTAAACATTTTTTATTGTAAATATTTATTTATTTATTTTTAATGTACACTGTATTTATTACATTTGTGCATTGCATTTTTTAAATATTTGAAAATTTTATTTTTTATTTAAATAAATATATTTTTTATTTTAAATATTTTAATTATTATAGGATTAATTTTGGGATGTACTATTCTATTAAGATTATTTGATTGGAATTGTTGTTCTTGATGACTAATTTCATTATCAGTGGAAGTATTTGATTCGTGATTAGTAATTAAAGAAGGTTGCTGGGTTATGACTGCTATGCCTTTTTCTTTGAAAGGTTTGGTAATTAATTTGTTAAATATTTGTTCAATTGCATCAACTGTATGGGTATTTTGGGTGACTAAACTCAATTTATTCCTATGACTTGAGAGGTTAATAAGTGGTTTTTCAAGAGTCTTATTAGTTGATGTATGGCTATTTGAGTAATCATCAAAGGTAGTCTAATGTTAACAAGTGGTTTTTCATGAGTCTTATTAGTTGATGTATATAGATGTTCACACAATACATAGAAATCACAAAAATACGAGACAACTTGGTTTGAGTTTTCTAAAAACATTTTTCAGAAAATTCTATTTTCTTATTTTTCGTATATTTTTTTTTTGTTTTCACTGAGTTTTTCTAGACTCTTTAAACATTTTTTTTCAATTTTTAAAATTTTAAAAATACTTAAAAAAATAATGAAAATCTTTTTCTTCAAAAATAAAAATAAAAAATATTTTCTGAAAAAAATATTTTTTCAAAAAATAGTAACTTTTTTTTTTTATTTTTAAAAATAAAGTTTTGAAAAGAGTGTTTGGATATAAGTTTTGAGAAGAATTTTGAAATTTTTTTATTAGAATTATGATTCTAAAATAAAAAATAAGAACTTTAAAAAATCAACTTCCACTCAAAATATCACTTATTATAATTGTGGTTAAAAAAGTCATTATTCTAATAAATGTAAAGTAAAAGAAAAACTTAATCAATTACAAATCTCTGAAGAAAATCAAAGTAAAATATTTGAAATCTTTAAATTAGAAAATATTCAGAATCAACCCCATCAATCTAATAGCTTTTCTAGTAACCCTTCTAGTAATTACCATAGTGATACTTCTGACTACCCATCTCCTAGTAATAATACTGAGGATGATCAAATAGAATTAGGTTGCAATGATATCTGCTGTAAACAAGTTAATGTCCTTAGTAAATCACAACAAGACGAAGATTAATTAATTGAATTAATTAGTAAATTAGATGATCCAGAATTAAAAAGAAAATACACTAACAAATTAAAATCTTTATTAATCAACAAAGATAATAAACCTCATCAAGATAAACCAATTATTAATTTAGCTACTACTTTAGAAAGATTTAGAAAAGATAAATATAAAGAAGTAACTTTACAAAATTTACAAAAAGAAATTAACCAAATCAAACTAACTATTAAAGAATTAAAAAAACAAAGATAAATCCTTAAAAAAAGAAATTGCAATATTAAAAATTAACAAGAATCTTAATGATTTTCAAAATAATAATGACACATCCTCTAATGAATCTAGTAATGGTCATAATCCAAACTGTGTCATCTTTGATAATAGATCTAATAAATCTAATAGTGAAGATGATCAGAAAGAAAGTAACCGATTAAATATCATCAATAGAATTAATATTTAAAAATGGCATTCAAAAGTCAAACTAATTGTTAATGATTATGAAATAGAAGTCATCGCCTTAATTGATATGAACGTAGACCTTAATTGTATTAAAAAAGGTTTGATCCCTACTAAATATTATCATAAAACTAATGAACAACTAAGTTCTGCTAATGGAAGTGTAAAGCATATTAAATACAAGTTATCCAGAGTTTATATTTGTCAAAACAATATTTGTTTTAAAGCATCATTTGTTCTAGTTAGAAACATGACAGATAAAGTCATTTTAGGAATTCCATTTATCTTTTTACTATACCCATTCACCACTAGTAATCATGGCATAACAACTTAAGCTTTTGGTCAAATAGTAACTTTCCAGTTCTTAACTTCTCTTGAAATTAAAGAATTAAATCAGTTAAAAGACTATTTCATATTTCAATCAATTAATAGATTGACTAAACAATTAAAATTCCTCAAAGAAAGAGTAAAATATAAAAGAATTAAATCTCAATTAACTAACCCAATTCTTATTTCAAAAATTAAAAAATTTGAAAGTCATTTAGAATATTTTATATTTTTATTTTAAAGATAAATTAAAAAAATAATTTCAATTTTTTTTAAAAAAATTATTTTTTTTTTCAATTTTTAAATTTTAAGAATACTTTAAAAAATAACGAAAAATATTTTTCTTCAAAGATAAAAAAATATATATTTTCTGAAAAATTATTTTTTCAAAAAATAGTAATTTTATTTATTTATTTGTATATATATATATATATATTTTTGTTTTAAAAATAAAGTTTTGAAAAGAATGTTTGGTTATAAGTTTTGAGAAGAATTTAAATTTTTTTTTTATTAGAATTATGATTCTAAAATAAAATCAAATGCTACCTTCGTTTTTGGTAATGATACCAAAGTATTCTTTTTTCTTTTTAACATCCTCTTATTATAGATAGAAAATTACTTCATCGCTGAAAATGCCAAAAACTTGCCAAAATACGTTAGGTTCACACAATCAGAAAACATAGAAACACCCAAACCGACTATATAAAACACAAGGCATATATATATGTATATATATAGATGTTCACACAATACATAGAAATCACAAAAATAGGAAAACGAGAGAGAGACAAATGGTTTTAGCGGAGGTTCCAGAGGAGGTGATGATGAGTGAAATTCTAACAAGGCTTCCGGTGAGGTCTGTTTTACGATTCAGATGCGTTTGCAAGCAGTGGTGCTCTTCAATGGCCACTCCTCAATTCATCAGAGAACACCTGAGGAAGTCAAAGTCATCGTCAAGTAGTAACAATAGAAGAATCATGATTGCTGGTTACGATAATAGCGGTTTCGTGTTCAAATCAATGTCGGTTTATTCGAAACCACCATTCAGCGGCTGCTTAGTCGCCTACAATAATTATCCTTGGAGCAATCGGAACCCCGCCAGGATTCAAGGTAGTTGTGATGGATTATTCTGTTTGACTACCAGAAGGGTACCAGGCATCCACATTTGGAACCCTTCAACAAGAGAGCACAAGACTTTGCCCTCTTTTATGAAAAAAGGATGGTGTGGTTTTGGGTTTGGTTATGATCACTCTATTCATGCCTTCAAGGTGTTTGCGATGAGGTCATGTGGTGTTGAACAAATCCAAGTTCATGTTTATACATTGGAAACCACCACTACTACTACTACTACTACTAGCCGCTCCGGGTCTTTGTTATCCGACGACTCCTGCTCCGAGGACTTGTACCAGATCCCGTCCGACTCTGACTCGGACGACCCCGGCCCTTTCTATTACTCCGAGTACGAGTACCTGTACGAATCCGAATCCGAATCAGAAACCGAATCCGAGTTCGAATCCGTGTTTTGGAGAAGAATTCAGGATTTCCCTTATCACCCCCCTCCTTGTTCACCTGGCAAGTTAGTTAATGGAGCTCTCCATTGGCCAGTTTATTTTGGCCCCCCGGCTTCTGCTTCTTCTTCTTCTTCTTCTTCTTTTCTTTCACCTGGCGATTTGAGAATTGCTTCTATTGATGTGACAAAGGAGACTTATGGTGAAATTCCAATGCCTTATCAGTTACAAGAAGATAGACATAGTGGTTATCTTTACACTGGCTTCGAGGTTTTAAGAGGATGTATTTGTTTGATTTTTAATCAACTTAAAATTGGATGTGATGTGTGGGCGATGACGGAATACGGAGTCAGAGATTCGTGGACAAAATTGGTGACAATTCCACATCTGCCATCCACGTTTATCTTCCAACCTTTACTGTCTTTGGATGATAGTAATGGTGAAATCATCTTCTTGGAAAACAACTCTCAAACGGGTGCGTACAATTCAAGTGAAAATATATTCCCTGCTCTTGACATTGTTGACGATACTAGTCTTGGTCAAGTCTATTCCTATTTTGAGACCCTAATCTCGCCCAATGCCGCATGAAGATTAAGAGATTTGCATGATTTCTCCAGTATAGTATCAATTTTACTAGCTTCTCACTAGTTTTCTCCAGTATAATATCAACTTTATTATTTACGTGAGTTCAATTTTATTCCATACATTATTATATTTATGTATGCTGCTCAACTGATAAGAATTTTATTTGTTAGGCCGAAGTTTTTGGTTTCGAGTCGATGCACTTCGTGATAAAACTTTGGACCCTTTTTAGGTGTGCCTTACATATGGTATTTATGAAAAGGTGTAAATTCTAGTAAAAGATGTAAAATTTATGAAAAAAATTATTTCACAAAAGGAGTAACTTTTCAAAAAATGTGTAAGTACTTCTACGAAAATGTGTAAATTTTCAAAAAAAGTGTAGGTTTTAGCAAAAGGTGTAAATTTTTTGAAAAAAATTATTTTACAAAAAGTGTAACTTTTCATAGTTAGTGTAAGTTATTTTAGAAAAAATGTAAGTAACTTCACAAAATGTGTATGTTTCGTTTTCACAAAAGATGTAAGATTCAATAAAATGTGTAAATTTTTTCACAAAAAATATTTCACAAAAAGAGTAACTTTTCAGAAAAGATGTTAGCATTTCCACAAAAGGTATAAATTTTCAGAAAAGATGTGATCAATGACATCTTTTGTGATCAACTAATAAATTCCCAAAAAACAGAGAAAAATGCAGAAACAAAAGAAACAGAGGATGATTTGGGAATGTGATCAATGACATTGCTGATTATAGATAGAATCAAAGAGAGATAGAGAAATAGCCAATAGTTGGATTACAAATTTTGAACTTTTTCAAAGGGAAAAGCTGATAAAATAAAAATGAATATCAGATATTCATTCTTCACAGTTATAGTTCTGAAATCAAAGTGGCACGGCTATTGGCTGCAGATGTTAATTTTCATTAAGAACCAAACTTAATATCAGATATTCAATAAGGGTTAGGATTTTCAAATCAAAATCCCTAATGTAAATGAAGTTTAGAGTTAGAAACAAACCTGAGCTACATAAAATATCTCTTGGGAATATTCGATTAGAAGGGAAGCAACTAGTTCTTGATGTCGAGAAAGTGAGAGATTATGAAGAAAGATGTCAACACTGAGAGAACGGTGGCCCCGACGCCGACAAGGCTGGTGGTCTGCGGCAATGGCTGAAGCTTCGGCTATGGCGGAAGAAAAGAGGGAGGAGAAGAGAAGAGCAAGAGTGAGAGAGGGAGGCCAACTGACTTGGGACCTCTCGACTTCTCTGATTTCCTTTGCCCTCTTTTTGGTAACCAACGCCGACGGGGTTGGTGGTCTTCGACAATCGCTGCAGCTTCAGCTATGGTGGAAGAAAGGAGGGAGGAGAAGAGAAAAGCAAGAGCACAAGCCAGAGCAAGAGAGGGAAGCCAACTGACTTGGGACCGTTGGAGTACTCTGATTTACTTTGCTCTATGTTTGGTAACCGGTTACACCAGTTGCCAATTCAAAATTAAATTATTAAAATAATTTAGTTATGAGATAATATGGTATATATAAATAACTAAATATAACTAAGTTATGAGTTAATATGATAATGGTTATGATTTATATGATATTAGTTATGATATTAAATCACATAACCTCATAACTGATGTATGGTACATCCAAATATTCCATAGCATCACCCTTAAATCACTAGCAAAATGGATAACTATGCATGCAATTTTAAATTTAAGTTTAAATTTAGGAAGCAAGCAAGGCATTGAGAAGTAAGAATATTTAACCAAAAACATGGTATTTTTCATTTTAAATTTAAGTTTAAATTTAGGAAGCAAGCAAGGCATTGAGAAGTAAGAATATTTAACCAAAAACATGGTATTTTTCAAATAAAAAACATGAAAAATAGTACCAATTAAATTTTTTTATAGGTTTCATATTAAAAAAAATTCAAATTAATTGGTACTATTTTTCATGTTTTTTATTTGAGAAATACCATTTTTTTTTTATAGGTTTCATATTTCAACTCCGCCGGGGTTGTTAACAACTCCGCCGGTCCCACGCCTGGGTTAAGAAGGAGGGTTGTGTGTTAGGTAGCCGACAGCTAACATGTAAAAAAGCTGTTTGGATCCCCTATGAAAATGAATCCTACTTTGAATCGTTTAAATGCTAGGTCGTTATCCTCAAGTAACACGTTGCGCCTGCCTTTGGGTGTTTCGAAAAGTGAGCAAGGGACGCCGCATTGACGCCTGAGTGCAGTAAAAAATGGGCAAAGGTTCCCATGTTTTCCTAGACGAGCGCAGGTAAAAAAGATAGTTCAAGAATACAGGTTTAGGGTAGCCACTTGGAATATAAGAACCTTAACTGGTAAGACGATGGAATTGGTAGATATTATGATTAGGAGAAGAGTTAGTATAGCTTGCGTACAAAAAACTAAGTGGATGGGTGAGAAAGCTAGGGAAATTGAGGATACCAGTTTTAAACTATATTATAGTAGTAAGGAAAGACACATATATGGGGTAGGAATCATAATTGCCAAGGGTCTGGTGGAGAATGTAGGGACGGTCATTAGGAAAGGGGATAAGATTATATTAGTTAAACTAGTTATTGGAGGGAATATAGTGAACGCTATTAGTGCATATGCCCCTCAAGTAGGATTAGATGATCAGACTAAGAGGGATTTTTGGAAGCAAATGGATGAGATCTTACAGGAGATACCCGCAGGAGAGAACCTGGTTATAGGTGGAGATTTTAATGGCCATGTAAGCATAGATAAACTAGGCTATGAAAGAGTGCATGGTGGATACGGTTTTGGTGACAGAAATGAGGTTGGAGAGAGTATCTTAGATTTTGCGTTGGCTTCTAACCTGGTGGTGGCGAATACTATGTATAAGAAGAGGGAGGAGCATTTGATAATTTTTAAGAGTGGGTCAGTTAAGAGCCAAATAGATTACTTCTTAGTGAGAAAAATGGACCGCCTAAAATGTAATGATTGTAAGGTGATTCCTGGAGAGAACCTGACCTCTCAACATAGGATTTTGGTACTAGATTTATGTTTTAGAGGCCAATACCAAGCTAGGAAGGATAGTAGGCGTCGTAAGACGAAATGGTGGGACCTAAAAGGGGATAAACTAGAAATATTTAAGAATAGAATGGATAAGAAAGGTACTTGGGACTTGGAAGATGATGCTAACACTATGTGGAACTCGATGGCCAATTATATGAGGAGAATCTCAAAGGAAGTGCTTGGAGAGTCGAAAGGGACAGGACCCAGCTCTAGGGAAACTTAGTGGTAGAGGGAAGAGGTTCAAGCGGTAGTTAAGGCAAAAAAAAAGAGTGCTTTAAAAAGTGGCAGAGAGATAGAACTGAGAAAAACCTTAAGAGCTATAGATTGGCTAATAAGGAGGTCAAAAAAGTAGTGAGGGGGTGAAGTTGATAGCTTATGATGACTTATACATTAGACTAGATAGTAAAGAGAGAGAGAAGAGGGTATACAAACTTGCTAAGATACGGGAGAGGAACACAAGAGATTTTAATCAAGTTAAGTACATCAAGAGTAAGGATTCTAAGGTATTGGTGAAAGATGAAGATATTAAGGAAAGATGGAAGAATTATTTTGAGAAACTATTAAATGAGAAACATGGAGGTACGGCAATAGGGAAATAAATGACCAGTAATACGATAAACCAAGACTATAGGTTTTATCGCAGGATTAGGAACTTTGAAGTGGAGATTGCACTTAAGAAGATGAAATCAAATAAGGCTTTAGGACCCGATGATATCCCTATTGAAGCTTGGAAGTGCTTGGGTAAAAAGGGAGTTGCTTGGTTAAGTAGGTTGTTTAGCAAAATTTTGTTGACTAGGAACATGTCAGATGAGTGGAGGAAGAGTATTTTAGTGCCACTATATAAAAATAAAGGAGATGTCTAGAATTGCAACAACTATAGAGGAATCAAGCTAATGTGTCATTTAATGAAAGTGTGGGAGAAGGTGATGGAATGCCGAGATACAACAGAGGTGTCAGAGAATCAATTTGGGTTTATGCCCGACAGGTCAACAATGGAAGCTATTTATCTTTTGAGGAGAGTAATAAAAAAGTATAGAGAAAAGAAAAGAGACATTCATATGGTGTTTATCGACCTTGAGAAAGCATATGATAGAGTGCCCCGAGATATAATATGGTGGATGTTAGAGAAGAAATGGGTGACAAAAGGTTACATTGATGTGATTAGGGACATGTATGAAGGGGTGGTGACTACTATTAGATCGCCTGCTGGAGAGACAAATAAATTTCCTATCATTGCTGGGTTACACCAAGGATCTACCTTAAGCCCTTATCTTTTTGCTTTAGTTATGGATGAGTTGACGAGAAATATTCAGGATGACGTGCCATGGTGTATGCTTTTTGCAGACGATATCGTGTTATTGGATGAGACTAGAGAAGGAGTTAGCACAAAATTAGATATTTGGAGAAAAGCTCTTGAATCGAAAGGATTTCGGATAAGCAGAACTAAGACAGAATACATGGAGTGTAAATTTAGTAACAGTAACAATGAAAGCAGAGGAGAAGTGAATATTGAGAATCAAGAACTACCTAAGAGTGAATATTTTCATTATTTAGGGTCGATTATTACAACAGCGGGGGAGCTTGATGCGGATGTGGCCCATTGGATTAAGGCGAGATGGTGTAAGTGGAGAAATGCGTCTAGGGTACTGTGCGATAAACGAATACCTACTAGACTAAAATGTAAGTTCTATAGAATGTCTATTAGACCAGCGATGTTGTATGGAACGGAGTGCTGGGCAACCAAGAAATAACATGTAGATAAGATGAGTGTGACTGAAATGAGGATGCCAAGGTGGTTGTGTAGCAAGACTAGACAAGACAAGACATGACAGAATTAGGAATGAGTGTATTCGAGAATGGGTAGGAGTAGCACCGATAGAAGATAAGTTGAGAGATATGGTTTGGTCACATTCAACAGAGACCAACAGAGGCAGTAGCGAAGAGATGCGATACTATAACGGTAGAGAGGAGTGTTAAGAGACGGGGTAGGCCTAGATTAACGTTAGCTAATGTTGTAAATAGAAATATGGATCTACGTAATTTGACTAATGAAATGGCTTTTGATAGGGCCGCATGGAGAAGAAGGATTTATGTAACCGAGTTCATTTGATGAGATTTAAGACTTGGTTTGGTTTGGTTTAATTATAGGTTTCATATTTCATTATTTGTATGAATTATTTTTCTCTGTTTTCACTAGGTGCCAAGGCCAAGGCTATCTGGTGAAGGTGGATGGATAAACACATAGAGAGAGAGAGAGAGAGAACATTGACTATACATTTCTAATTGTCTAACCACCGGGTTCCTAATTTGGATGATCAACCTGGCTTGGTCACATGGGATATAAGGGGGCACTGTACAACAATCCCCTCTAACGACCAAAGGTTATGTTGGATTAATTATTTAATTCATTGCTTCATTTGTTTCAGTGTATATCTAAATAATATAATATAACCTAACTCTTTGGTATGATGCTTACTTTTTTATTTTATTTTAATATAAATGCCTTATAAATTTACTATATAAAATAAAAAATAAAAAACCTAACCCTTTGGTAGTGGGCACAAAGAAGAGTTGTGAATTTATCAGTGTGTATTGTGTTTTTACGCAAAAAAAAATTTAAATAATTTACAAAGATATTTTTTTATGAAACTTTGAACTCACCAACTTATGCATAATTGGTTTGAGTCGATATGATTATCAATCAATCTATTGTATTATGGAGGAGAAAAATTAAAATGTGATGATATGTTGCTCTAGCTGAAAAAGTTTTCTCAACTATAATGGGTTTGAATTTGCTTAAAGAAAACAAAATTACTAAGTCTCAATTTGCATTATGTGTATCTATTAATTTTGAGATGCGGTGTAGCCAGTATTATTTTAATGATAGTGGATATTTTACATAAATGTTATTCAACATAATGGATGAGAAAAATATTTGTAAATGTAAACAGAGTTTGTTAAATTATGTAAATTTTGGTGTCTTCTTGTGCTAATTGTTTTTACCCAATATTTATTTTTCACTCCATATTTATTTACTTTTGTTGGTAATTACATCCAAAAAAAAAAAAATTCCAATTACATTTTCAATTAATATTTCATTTTCAGTATTCTTTTTTTGAAACTGTTTTGACTAGGTGCCAAGGCTATCTGGTGAAGGCTATCTACAACACATCTCTAGTTGTCCATGCATATGACCATATTGGCCCTGTAAAATATTGCCCCCGTTGTGCCTAATTTTTAGGTCGCAAATGAGAAAGTGGGATATAACTTCAGTATCAACAATATTAGAGAGTTCTAATTTTAGAACTCTAATGTTGTGGCAAGAGAAAACAAAAAAAAAACAAAAAACAAAAAAAACAAAAACAAAAACATAAGCACACACATCACATCACATGTGGGCCTCACTCCTTGCCACATCACTAGAGCTCTCTTTGGAGCTCCAAAATTAGAACTCTTAATCTTTATTCCTTCAGTATGGGAGGGTTTTATTTTATGCATGTGTTGCTCTCAAAAAGCTATTTATTTTTATTTCAACTATTTAATTTAAATGAGTCTTGATGTAATTAGCATTGTCTCACAAAAAATTTCAGCAACATTATTAATTGTAGAGCAATTGAGATTTTTTGGGAGCCGCTCCATTTGTTTGGGTGAAAAATAATTTGTAATGGAAAACTTTTTTTACAGACCAAATAGTGTAATTTAAAACAATAGGAATCAAAGTGAAGAATAATTGTGATCAATGGAGTGTTCTGCCTCTATTTTACATGGTTGGTTATGTGTACATAATGATTCCTATGAAATGAGACATAATCAAATCAACACAAGAGCCAAGGACCACAAACCTGCTGCAACAATGGTAGTTGCTAGTAGTAGTAGACCCTTTCACAATGGGCTTGCACCTGCCATCTGTCTCTCTAGTTCTAGAACATCAATCAAGCACTCCTTTCTTAAGCACCTATCCTCTTGCATCTTCAAAAGTGCCTGTTTCTTCTTTTTAAGATCTTCAATGGCTTCATCTAGTTTCATAATGGTTAGCTGCAAAGATACCTTCTTCCAGAGATCACCATCAGTTTCTCCATCTTGTTCAATATTGCTGAGCTCTTTAGAATCTACAACTGAAAGTTGTGTTGCAATTGGGACACCCATTTTGGCAAGCTCAAGGTCTATAGGAATGTCATCATCAGCTTGGAGACCAAAGTGAGCATGCACCAGTTTTGTCAAACGAGCAATGACAAACTGAATTTCAAAGCCTGCATATTGAGCAAGTGTGAAGGAGAGAAGCCATATCAAAAGTTGACTTGTAGTTATGTCCCCGATCTTGGTGCTGTACATGTCGTGTACAGCTTCACATACTGTCATTGTGAATAACATCGTTGCCTTTGTACCAAGTCTTGAACTCTTACTGAAGTCCCCGTATTTGGAAAGCAAAGCTTCTAGGATGGACACCCAATTCTCCAAAATCATGTAGTTTCCATCCTCTATAGCCTTTGATGTGGAATCCCAATTTTCCCAAGGCAATGTGACTTCCAACTTCAGAAACAAACTTTTTCATCAAGACCTTGATCATATCTATTTTGTCGTACTCATCCTTATCCCTGTCCTCGTATAAACATAGCAAGATCTTGCCTTTTTCTCCTTGAACACTCCTTTTGTAGGCTTCTTCAAAAAGACCTTACACTTTTGTTCTCATCATCTGTAAATGAATCTAAAAATTCTTTCGACGTTAGTGCACGTAGCTCCTGAAAATTACAGAAAACACAAAATCAAGATGTTGACTTTTTAAATGAAAAGAAAAATGGGGACATAAACAAAAGGAAAATGAAGAAGAAGAAGAGCCTGAAGAATGTAGGCACTTTCACTAGAAGGCTCAAGTAGATCTAAGATATTTGTAGATAGAGCAGTTTTAAGGGCAATATCAAGAAAAGCAATTTTTACCTCAACTTTTCCATGCATTGACCACTCTTCTTCTAGAATATGTATGATCTAATTATCAAGACAAAGTGAGGTCAGAATAACGGAATAAAAAAGAGAAAATAGTGAAAATTGAGATTAAATTATTAAAATAGAATTACCTCTCTACATTGTTGATGGTTCTTTTTGCAATGACAAACATAATTTTCAAGTCTGCAGATTTAGCAAGAGCAAAAGAGTGAAACCAGGTCAAAAGTATACTTGTAGTTATGTCCACAACCTTGGTGCTGCACATGCTGTATATAGCTTAGGATACCATCATGAATAATGTATTTGCCTTCGTACTAAGTTTCAATCTATTACTGAAGTCCCCATATTTGGAAAACAAGCCTTTCAGGGTAGACACTTGGTTCTTAAGAATCATGTCGTTTCCATCCTTAATAACCTTTGATGTGGAATCCTAATTTTCCCAAGGCATTGCAACTTCAACTTCAGAAATAAACTTTTCCATGGCCACGGCCATACGTATTTTTTTGTTCTTGTCCTCATCCACGTCCTCGTATAAAGATGGAAAGATTTTTGGGAGGATGGCACCTTCTCGAACATCCCTTCTGTAAGATTTGGAAAGACCTTGCACTTCTTCGTTCTCATTCTCTGTAAATGAATCTAAAAATTCTTTTAAAGTCACTACAAGTGGCCCCTGAAAAGCACTGAAAACAAATATTCAAGATGCTGACTTTTTGAATGAGTTAAGTAATAGAAAAAGCACAACCAACCAAACCAAACCAAACCAAGCCTTAAGTCCCATCAAAAGCACAAGTTCAAAGAAAACAAAAGAAAAAGGAAATGGGGATGTAAAATATAAATATTTAAAATTTTAAAAAGAACTTGAAGAGCATAGGCACTTTCACCCAAACGATTTAAGTAGAAATAAGATATTTGCAGATAGAACACTTCTAAGAGCAATATCAACAGAAGCAATTTTTACCTCAACATTTTCATGCTTTGACCACTCTTCTTGTAGAATGTGTATGATCTAATTATCAAGACAAAGTAAAGTTAGAACAACTCAATAAACAACTGAATAGTAAGGGCAAAAAATGAAAAAATAAATTAAATTATTAAAAAAGAATTACTTCTCCACATTGTCCATAAATCTTTTGTCTTTGAACATTCACAAGAAGTTTCATAGAAACTGTATATCAGGAGTTAATTTTTTAACTGCATCTTGACCCCAAACACGTTAAATACTCGAAAGGCAAAATGTGTCCTGAACTAGAGTGTCATAAACTAATGCAATATGTTCATGCAATTTTACATGAAATTGGATTGGAGCATTCAGTTTTTTTTTTTTTTTTTAATGTAGTAACATTTTGTTAATTAAAATAAACAATACAGATGAAAAATAAAAGATGAATATTCTTAAGCAATCAGACATTGAAAAAAGGGGCAATTTCTTAACAGTGGTACAGAGAAAAAGAAATCACACAAACATGAATCAATTCTCACAACTGACATTATCTCAAAATACGTAATGATTCAAATGACAGTCAAATCAAAGCAAGAGTAAAGGAGGACAAACCTGTTGCAACAACGGTTGCTGCTAGTAACAGGAGAGCCTTTGCTGCACATCACAACAGGATTGTGCCTGCCATCTGTCCCTCGAGTTCAAGAGCATCAATCAAGCACTCCTTTCTACGCACTTCTCCTCGCGCGTCTTCAAAAGTGCCTTCTTGTTCTTTTCAAGTGCATGTTTCTGTTTCTTCTTTCCAAGTGCCTGTTTCTTCTTTCCAATCGCTTGTTTATTATTTTCAAGCTCTTGAATAGCTTCATCCAGTTTGCTAATGGTTAGCTGCATCGAATCTACCTTCTTCCGGAGATCATCAGTTTCTCCATCTTGTTTAACAATGGCGAGTGCTGTGGAATCTATGACTGCAAGTTGCTTTGCGATCTGGACACTCAGTCCAGCAAGGTTAAGGTATACAGGAACATCATAATCAGCTTGGAGGCCAAAGTGAGCACACACCAGTTTTGTCAAACGGGCAATGACAAACATAATTTCAAAGTTTGCATATTGAGCAAGAGCGAAGGAGTGAAACCAAGTCAAAAGTAGACTAGTAGTTATGTCCACGACCTTGGTGTTGCACATGTTGTATACGGCTTCACATACTGGTTATGAAAAACATAATTGCCTTTGTACTAAGTCTTGATCTATTACTGAAGTCCCCATATTTTGAAAAAAGTGAGCACACACCAGTTTTGTCAAACGGGCAATGACAAACATAATTTCAAAGTTTGCATATTGAGCAAGAGCGAAGGAGTGAAACCAAGTCAAAAGTAGACTAGTAGTTATGTCCACGACCTTGGTGTTGCACATGTTGTATACGGCTTCACATACTGTCATTATGAATAACATAATTGCCTTTGTACTAAGTCTTGATCTATTACTGAAGTCCCCATATTTTGAAAACAAGACTTTTAGGATGGACACCTGGATCTCCAAAATCATGTAGTTTCCATCCTTAATAACCTTTGATGTGGAATCCCAATTTTCCCAAGGCATTGCAACATCAACTTCAAAAACAAGCTTTTTCATGACTCGTGCAGAGACCTTGTCTAAATGTGCGGAGTGCCTAAGCTCAGAATTCTTGATGTTTTTAAAGATGCCAGTTTCTCCTCGGACATCCCTTCTGTACGCTTCAAAAACACCTTTCACTTCTTTGTTCTCATCCTCTGAAAATGAGTCTAGAAATTCTTTCAATGTCAGTGCAGGTGGTTCCTGTAAATTACAGAAGACACAAAATCCAGATGCTGACTTTTTGAAAGAATTAAGCAATAGTAGAAGCACAAGTTCAAAGAAAAGAAAAATGGGACATAAAAATAAAAAAATAAAAAAATAAAAAAAGAAGAGCTTGAAGAATGCAGAAGAAAGATATTTGCAGATAGAATGCTTTAAGGTTGACATCAACAGAAGTAATTTTTACCTCAACATTTTCATGCTTTGACCACTTTTCTTCAAGAATATGTATGATCTAATTGTCAACACAAAGTAAAGTTAGAGAAACTGAATAAATAACTGAATAAAAGGGGGCAAACAATGAAAAAATGGAATTCAATTATTAAAACAAAATTACTTCTCTACATTGTCCATAATTCTTTTTTAAACGTCCTCATATTCATTAAATGTAAAAGGCAGGAAATGTCAAAAACATCTTTCTAGAAGAGCTTTTGACACTTTGGACCACACTACTTTCACACTTATACCAACTCACATTATCCAGTTAAGTAACTGAGATTTGAGAGCGTCTGCCACTTTAGAAATCAGGCTGCTCATACTGTGGTGAATTAGGGAATTACTAACCTCTATGAAATGAGCGGCTATATCTTATTGAGGATGGCTGCCAACTAATGTATGATGATCATTTACTTCAATAATTAATCCTACCTTTTGATTTGTTCTATATTGGTCTTGCATTGGATCTTTGATATATGACTTGAATTGCAATAGCTAAAAATTCCTGTTTTAAATCAAAATAAAATCACGAGATCTTACTTAGTAATGACCAATCTATTCATGATATCTTATCTTAATAGGACAAATCCGTCTAGTCAACCCAATCACTGTTTCATCAATTTTAATTTGATATATAAAACTGAATGCGGACATACCTCAGACACCACGCAATGAGGATGTGGCATTTTTCACAATAATAAGTTGCTTGTGCTAGATCCCTTCTTTTTTCGCAAGCATCACGGTAAAGCTCTGCCTCATCATCTTCATCCTGATGGTCTTTAATTGGAGAATTGGTGAAGGTAAGGCGATGGATATGATTATTGTATTTGAGGGTAGGCGGTAATGCTGAATACAATGGACATGGAGACTGAAATTGCACCACACACAACGGAATAAAGGGCTATGGGGGCAGAACTTTGCACAGGTCTTGCAACCCACTCGAGCAGTTTCCGCGAAGATCAAAGCAAGAGGGTGGCGGTGAATTTTAGACCTGCTCATAATAGTGGGCTTTGGCAAAAAAGCACATCTAACATCCATGTACCACTTGCAGTGGGAACATTCGTAGAAAAAACCATGACAATCGCTCAAACATACCCCACATTTCATGTTGCGTGTATTTACTTGACTAGTGGAGGGTGAGAGTGTGGTGAGCATGAAGGAGGTGCTCGATTTCTGGAGGCAAATTAGCACATGATTTGTGAAGCAGGGCACAGCATTCAGGGCAAAAATAAATGGAATCGTTCAAGGGCCGCCAACAAGCATAGCAGGTATAAGAATGAATAAGATTCTCATTTTTATTATTATTGTGGCACAAAAACAAGGGATGGGAGTGGTTGAATTGTTCAATATGAGTATGACCATGTTCAGGTATCAAACAAGCACAATGAACATCTACCACAAACTTGCACTTAAAACAATGGTAGGCGAAACCGTGCCGCCTCTGGCAACAGACGCTGCAGATGAACTCTCGGTCATATGAGCCAGGCCGAGAGCGGAGGACGAGAGGATGTGAGGAGTGAAATGGGTGTTTAATTTCCCATGGCAACTATAAGCATGAATTGTGCAACAAACCCTTACACTGTAAACATACATAGACACAATCTTCATTAATAACCAAGTCACAGCAAGTGCACTTATAAATCAAATTCTGATCCTTATGACACAATATAAAGGGATGTGGGTGATTGGGTTGGTCCTTCCGGTGCTGAAATTGAAATTGAATCTTCTTGTTGTGGTGGTTGTTTTTGGTAGCGATTGCGGTGGGGGTTGGGGTGAGGAGAGCGCACTTGACATGGAGGACAAAATCAGAGGCGAGACATTTGTAGATGAACAAGTCTCTTCCGTAACAATTGCCACCACAAGCGTAGCAAAAGTGGGATGGAAGGAGTTTACCGGAAAGGAAAAGGGTGTGGTGAGGGTGGGGATGAAAGGGGTGGTGATCGAATTGGAGTGGAATTTGAGAACAGGAATGGGTGTGGATGCGTATATCAGGGCACTTACTACAACGATAGTATTGCCAATCAGTGATTGGTTCTCGGCATACCCTGCACTTACCTTTACACTTCTCCTCTGCCTTATCATTGAGTTCCAAATATGATTTATAAAAATAAAAAAAATAAAATTGATTCCATAATTATAATATTTTTATTTTATTATATTTGTCACTAAAAAATAAATGGTACATTTTTAAAAATAAATTTGTTGCTCATTTTTTTAATGACAAATTCAATAAAATTAAGATACTACAATTAGTAGATAGACCTAAATTTTTGCGTAGATAATATATATTAAAAGTTCTAAAAATATAAATAATTCAAATTATCACAATGGGATCTGCAATAAATCCCATAAACCCAAACAATACCTCTCCAATTCAGATAATAACTCCTTTCCAATACATATAATTTTCAAAAGAGACATTAATTAATTCTGAAACATAAATACATCACATGATATTTTAAGCTATTGTGATTGGTGGAAAAAATAAAATTTATAATTTTATATTGAGTAATTAAAAAATATAATAAAAGATAATATATAATAATTAATTCTGAAACATAAATACGTGGCACTCCAAAAATATTAAATAATTTTTCATTAATTAGAGCCTCCATGCACGTTGAGGGAATCCAAACTGCACTGAAATTAAAACTATACAAAATAGTTTTCCACAAATTTTATGTCACGTCCCCATCACAAATTAACTAGACACCAACTAAACATGTGGCAATCTATATACCTTTTTATGAATAGATGTTTAGCCTAGTTTATGTACATATTGATTAATTTTTAAACTTACACAAAGTACCCCTTTCATATACACCAAGTAAATCTTGAAGAGAGCCCACAAGCATGATTTAATAAATTAATAACATTTAATGAGAGCTGAATTTAATAACTCATATACTTACAAAGACTTAGACATATTTTCATTGTTATGTAATTGTAATAAAAAAAATTATTTTTTACTTTTTTTGCACATGGTGAGATATATTAATAAATAGATTTTTTATAATCCAGAATGGTTAAAATAGAAGGGAGTAGAGTTTATATTTGAAAATCAAGTTTTCAATCTCCCTCCTCTTATTTTAAGAGATTTGGTGTGCATGGCAGGGGTATGTGCGGTGCGTTTCGGGTGATTTGAGAGTAAAATTAGAAATTGAATGGCAGGTTAGCGGATTGACAAATTGTGATTTGGGCGATTTTTGACAGATTGAAGAATATTCTAACTAATTGGGCGATTTTTGACGGATTGACGAATTGAAGAATATTATAACTAATTATCATACATTTGTATAATATATAACAGTAACTTGTATAATATTTTTTATTTATATAACACAAAGTAATTTTAAATAATATGTTTCATATATATAACCACTAATTTGTAATAAATTTCATATCTTAAATCTCGCTCACACTCATTTTTACTTTGATATTTTATTGGAATTTAAAATATATATATATATATATATATTAACTATAGCGGAGCGGAGCAGAGCGGCTCGATTATCGGATTATAAATTTTAAAGTTTAAATCGCGGTTAGTGATTAGAGCAGTGCAAATTAATACGGATCGATATGATTTTAACAGATTGTGCGATTTTTTGCATCGCCCTACTTGCTGTGAATTAAAACAGCAACATATGTTTTTTTGGGTGGGCAGAACGTGAAGTTGTTACTCGTATCAAAACAGTTGCGTTTCTAAACAATATGTTTGCCAAAACTATGTGAGTGTTTGGGAAGTAGGTTTTTATGTAAATTTTTTTAGTTGTATGATATTATTGGAGAAAATTTTTTTGGTGTTTGGGAAGATAGTTGGGTTTTTTTGTAGTTGGATGTGATATTTGTGAGAGAAAAAGTGAAATGATTATGGGGTTGGATGTGATATTTTGTTTGAATTTGTTTTTTTTTTTTGCTTTGCAAAAACTTTGTCTTTTAGTGGAAAAAATAAAAATAAAAAAAAACCCACAAAAAATTTTCCCTAAACACCGCCTATGTTTATAGTTTTAAGTGATGTTATATACTTATTTTTCTTATAATTGAATATTAAGAAATTTTGTAACCATGATAATAAATGATAGGTGATTAAGGCCGAATTGTAAATCATTGAGGCCATTAATTAGAATCTCTTAACTTCACTTGCTGGTCAAATTGTATATTTTGTGTGTGTTGAATGTCAATCAGATTTGTAAGCATAAAATGGGCAAAAAGACAGAATTTGGACAGAATTGACTTTTTCGCACGTGCGTTGACTTTTTTCGCACATGCGTTGACTTTTTCTGAAAAAATGTGCCTGACGTTTTAAACCTGTTTGGAAGAGATCAGAAGTATAAAAAGGAAAAGAAAAGGCTGGAATGGGGTTCTGAACTTGTTTTGACAAAAGAGAGAGGCTAGGGTTTGAAAAAGAAAAAGGAATTGAAGCTTCAAGCATGTCTCCCATGATGGCTTCTTCTCCATCTACCTCCTTCCACTCCTCCATAAGTGGCTAGTCTTATTTTCTAGGGTTTTGAAGAAACCCTAGCCATGTAATTAGTTTTTCTTTTTGATTTTCAATTATGTAAAGGTTTGAACATTTGTATGGTGTTTTAAAAGTTTCATATATTTAATTTTCATTATTTCTTCGAATATTCAGCTTTCTATGATTGTTGAATGTTATCCATACAAGAGTTTTCTATTTCTTTCACATTCAAGGCATGAGACGAACCATACTACGAGGAACGAGTCGTATCGCTACCTTAGTTTAGAGTGAACGATTCGTATTACTTGAGATGGTTCGTGCTCATACATTGAATGTGATGATTTTCTTGTTAAATGCTTTGAGCTTGTAGTTGCGAAGCATTATTCCATTCGAACCATAGCATAATTGTTTTTCAATTTGAATCCCTATTTACGTAACTAGTGGTGGACTCATTGCCCTAGGTTTTTCCCCAAATCAGTAAACTCAATTTTATTTATAGTTGATAATTTCATTACTTAGTTTAATTTATTTGTTATTAAATTAGGTTATGAACAATCAATCTTATCACACTTAATTGAAAAGTGACATAAAAAATAAATATTATCACACTCAATTAAATTAAGTGTGATTAAAATATCAATCTAATGTTTTTTATCACACTTCCAATAAAAGTGAGATCTTTTTTTTTGTCAAAGTGTGATCTTTAACCATTTTTGTAGTAGTGGTTATGAACAATCAATCTTTTTTATTAAAATTAATTTAGGAATTTAACAATTAAATTAGTTTAATTTCATAATTGTCTCTGTGGATTGATACATGGACTTGTCATTATTCTAAAAGAATTTGGTGTAGTTTAGTGTTTAAATTTGGTGTGTTCAACGACCCATCAAATTTTGGCGCCGTTGCCGGGGACTACTGGCGAAATTAGTTAATTTAAAGTTATATTCTTATTTTAATTTTTAGTTTAGGATTTTATACTTTTGTGTTGCAAAGTGTGTAGAGTGTTTGAAATTGGAGCTATCACCGAAGTGCAAGCAGAGCGCAGCCGAGCTTTAAAAATATTAAAAAAAAACCGCAGCACTAAAGTGCGTAAACAGAAGGAAACACTTGCAAGCAAAGCACCAAAGTGCTAAAACGAAAGTCAAAGCTCAAATAGAGGTTGGAGGCAACATCTACACGTCAAGCATCCGCAAGACGAGCAAAGGGTTTTCGTTGAACCGCTGTGAGTATTTCTCCTTTGGCATTTTGCTTTTGGAACTTAGTGCACAGAGTCGAACTTTTTGTGTGTGTGTGGGTAGTGTATGCACGGGCGCCGTTCTTGTCGCTCTGAATCGTGGAGTTTAGACCTTGAATTAGAAAGGACTCTTAGGAGACTTAGGGCCTCTGCCCGTGTTCCTAGGCTTGAGTATTCATATTCATACATTGAGCCATTAGAGATGGCAGATCCTAATGTCCCGAATGTGCCTAACCGGACCCTTAAGGATTATTTCACACCCACTGCATATACATCACCATCATGCATCCAATTACCCAAAACCACTTGTAGACACCCCATTTTTGACCGTCCTCAAGACTTGGACGTCATCGTTTGAATACTCAATGATCATCCATGTTTGTGTTCGTTTTGAGATCTCGGAAGTTTTGGTTGCGCGCCTTGCCTTAGGATCTCTCAACTTGACTGTTTTGTGCTTGGTTGTGGACCAAGAACTTGTGGTTTTTGCACCTGAGGGTAGGAAATGGCTTGTTGGCCATCCCCTTAACCCACCGGCCATGGCCTAAGCCCACTAGCCTTGTTTTATTTCCACCGGCCAAATGTATTGGTCGATCGGCACTATATTTTGTCGACCGGCCATTTTCTTGGTTGATCGGCCACTTTTTCTGGCCGAGGCATTTTCTTTGCCTTTTTCAGGCATTGTGCATGCCAGCTGTGCCAGCTGGTGAGCACAAACTCTGCCCTCCATACACGTGTATGAAGGGATTTCATCCTTACACTTAGGTTCCCCTTGGAAGCTTGGAATTGGATTTCCTATAAGAGGAGGGCCTCCCCTCCCTTTCCAGAGGTTCAGCCAACTGATATAGAATATATATATATCACTCTTTCTCTATATCTCCTCTCTCTCTATAGTTGTGTGTGTAATAGTGTTCTAAAGGGTGTTTTTGTTCATATCTTTGCACTAAGGCACCTAGTGGTACACTATCCCTTAGTTACTGAGGTGCTAAGGAGTTGTTTTCAGAGTTTTTGAGTTGGTTTTGATCAAAAGGAGGTGCTGGAGTTGGTGTTCTTGAAGTGTTCTTCAAGGGTGAGAAACTATTCTTTTATTCCCCATTTTTGCTTAAGCTTTTAGCAATACTTGCATACCATTTTAAGATTAGTGTCCAACTAAAAAAAGTTCATTTTTTACATGCTTTTGATCCTTGTTTAAGATCACTTTTGTGTTTGGGATTGTTTACCCCCTCTTAGGCCTTGTTTGGCCTCATTTTTGTGCCTTTTTTGTGAGCTCCGGGACCACCTTGTGTTGGCCTTCTCACCACTGAAATCCAAAGGGATTTCAGTGGTGGGGATGATGTTTTGAGGTCCTAAGAAGGAGAGGGCCATGCCCTCTCCTTGTTGTCGTCAATACTTA